AAACCCCATATGCACGTATGATATGATATTGAACAAGGCTAAATGTAGATACTGAAGTCAGTTTCATGAAAAAGCATCCGAACTATCCGCAAAATATACATCATAATACTGACAGTGTAATCGGAAGGATATGGCGATTGTGTTTACTCTTGTTCGACCGACCTTCACCTCAAAGAAATTGCCTAATATGTAGAACAATGTTGACGTATGACATCACTACCGCTGACCGATTTCTTACAAAATGGCGGCTTTGCTGACAAGGGTGCACAGGATTTTGCGAGGACCCTTCCACTGATTCAGGGATCGTTTGTACATAAATATGAGATGTAAGTAATCAGAATGATTCTGACTATCTGTGTATTGTTATATGTTTTTTATCGTTTTCACTATTCGTAAGAGAAAAGGACAGAAATGCAGATAATTACCGTTGTTGTTCTGCGTGATTTGGCGTCAGTCATGGCGTCACGCTGCGCGGAAACTTTGACAATTTCTTATGAATTATCAAATCATTGCATTGTATCTATTTATAATTTCCTATTTCTTGCTACGATACTCTTTCCATGTATATTCTAAAGGTATAGAGCCATTGCAAGCAATGAATAGACGGATGAATGTTGAAAAACTTCAGAAAATGCTACGCAGTGTAAAATCGGAATTTGTCTTTGTTTACATTTCACACAAACGCAGTCTTTCAAGCACAGCGTTCGTTTTCACACCCAATATGTTTCGTCTCATTTTATCTAGACAGTTATTATTGGTGACACAGACCAGTTTCAAATTGATTCTAAAATGTATGGGGAATTCAGTGATGCATTTTTCGAAGCTGAATATGAAATATACGTGATGTAATAGGCGTCTCAATACCGGCCTTCGCGAAACGTGATTTTGTAAACACTATCCAATATGGCGGAAAGCGCTCTACGGTGTTCGTGTAAGTGCATTTTCGAAAACATCCCAACCGATTCTAGATTCATCGGCAACGTTTCAGAATTATAATTAGCGATTTCATGTAAAACTGATATCAGTGATCATGAATAGGTTATTTTTTAAATTCAATACTCCCAGGAATTATCCGATTTTCACATTTCAAAACATACAGCAAATAACGCTGTGAATCGCAATTTCATACTGTGTCAAAAATGTCGCCATTTTCGATGAAGCCTATTTTAAAAGGTCATTTTCAGCACTTGAGCTTTGTCTAAAATAATACTGGATGGTATCAAGAAACAGGAAATTACCCGCAGAATTCGAAACTGTGAAGTGTATTTGTGTGCGTGGGATATTTTGATTTTTATTGGACTTCAAATTGAGGGTTGAAGGGGAAGGACATATATGTCCCTGTGGCATCCAGGGGTTATTTTGTCAATTTAATGCATGTAAGACGTGGGTAATAAATAAAATACCACACTCGGTCTCATTACATACGAATTATACGAAACTCGTGGCCTTCCTATGGTATCTGACCTCGCTTTCACTCGGTCAGATACCATAGGAGGGACACGAGTTTCGTATAATTCGTATGTAATGAGACCGAGCGTAGTATTCTCTATGTCCATGATGTTTATCACTGGATTGTCTGGTCCAGACGTGAATATTTACAGACCGTCGTCATACAGTTTGAATAGAGTGCTGCGTTAGACAACAAACAAAGAACACATCCCTGTTCCCTTTCTTTCATTGATAGCTGTGTTATACCTGGCTCTCCTAGAAATGAGATTCCCTCACTCGCAACGTGTCAGCGTTTGGTTATTTAGACGTTTGTATTTGTACCATTAGGGACCGTTCATAATGTCATGTACAAAACCAATGCCGACCCCCTTGTATAAGTGTACAAACTTGATGACCACCTGCCTACTGAGAACATAATGGGTGACTCCCCTTAAAATCCTCAACACACACACACACAACACACACACACACACACACACCAGCCATAAAGTCCCAAAGGCTACCCACCGCTCCATTTCAAAAGGGTTTTGCAGATAGTGTGCCTAACACATTAATAGTTGATACACAATGCCATTTAGAAAGTGGTCAAATGTAACATATGTTATATTTGGGATTACACTTTCTTCGTAAATGGCATTGTGTATTCATAGCTTTCGGCCGTGGAAGCCGTGCCAATTCACACTTATCAGAGGGGTACACATAGTCCGCTGTCTAGACTACCAGTTGTCCGACTTCCAGCGGAGGCCGCGGTGGCTGAGCGGGGTAGGCGGCTGATTTTGTGTGCTGGCAATTAGGTGTGGGTTCTAATCCCGGATGGGACTCAACCCAACATCAGTACTAGAATATGTACTTTACTAAGAAAGTGTAATCCCAAATATAACATGTGTTACACGTTAATAGTGTACCACTCACATTAATATCATGGTCATTTTTATTTTTCTGAATGAAATAGGTTCATGTGCAGTCTTTCTCAATTAAAGTGGACAATTGCAGTCGTCGAACTTGCAGGGTGCGATTCATGAAACCAAAAGCACTTTCTTTAAATACATTAATGATAACAAGTAAAGTATAGGAATCACGAAACCAAGAAAACTAACAAATCATTTGAACAAATGCTTAGCATGGATTGACATACATGTGTAGGGGGTGCGGTTTTTCTGGTGTCGGTGAGTGACGTACCCGTCAATAAAAGCTGCCTCTAAGATGACCACCGCTACCACGAGTCGAATGTAGTTAAGTTTTGAAAGCAATCAGGAATTGTTTATGAAAATAACCAATCAAACACGCATGTGAAAACGTACACAATTGCAACGTAAGCAATAAACAATTGTCGACAGCACGCGTGCAATTTACGTTATGTCAGATCGTATTACCCACAATTAAAACCTAGATACTGCTACAATATAGAAATGAGTGCGGCGTAAAACTCAACTCACTCATTACAATATAAAAAAAGGTGTTATTTACAGCATGAAATGATATAGTTTAGATAGCAAGCATGTTATGTCTACCAAATATACAGGTTAGTTGAACCATTAATGTTCGTTTTAAAGACCGATTTTAAAGAAAGTAATCATACGTGACGGTGGTGATATTGTAACGTTGCCGCAAAGCGTTATGGTTACTTTGAAACAACATTTCGTTCTATAGTTTATTACAGTATCAACGCAGAAACACAACTGCAGAACCCTGATGATCACTTCAGACAAACAAAATGTAATTTACGTTTTGTATTTTATGTTTGATTGACAACTAGAATGGTCCATGGCGTTACATGGGAAACCCCCCAAATACCCAAAAATCACGTGTTAGTACTCGTTTGAATGTCTGCAATGTCTCTGAATGTCTCTGAATGTCAGAGCAATACTCATTCTAAGGATTCCATTGTTGACCATGCCACTTTTTCACCCTAATGTAAATGGCTAAAGGTATATATATTTCTTACGGAATTATTAATTAAGATGATAAAACGATTTAATATGTTGATGAAATTGAAATGTACGTTTTGTCAACTATACAGATTGTTCTTTAACTTACTCTAAATAAGGATAGATCCAAAAGTAAACAAATGTTTTATCCCAATGTCTCATTGTGTAACTGTTGCTTGTAGATATCTCAATGTTGCACGACTGTCAGGCCATGTTTCCAGAATACGTTTCACTTCTCTTTTGATTACATATCTGGTGCGAAGGATCTTAACTGTTAAAAATAATAATTCCGTTTAATAAAAATTCAGTCTTTGGATTTAACAAGAACGTAAGTTACAACGTAATATACGTCACGCTGTAGAACTGTAAGGTGGTAAAAGTGTTTTAGCCAAAATATATTCATTCCAATTTTTGTGATTCCATGGCGTTTTCGTGCAAGGGAACGTTTTGTTTTCAACTTTCTGATATTAATCTTTGATACACTATAAATGTGGTATGCGTGGTTCCGTCAATTGTGTTTTTGGAATAGGTCTCATGTGACGTCAGCAGTGTGAAACATGTTTTACTGAGTATACATTCTTTTTGAATTTCAGATATGAATAAACTGTTCATTCACAAGTTGTAGTTTTGGAAAAAATAGTTTTCTTGGACTGACGTGATTTTGTTTTTCTGCACTGTCATCTCTGAATTGTGCAGTTTCGTTGAGAATTCAATTTTCTGAATGAAATAGGTTTATTTGATCTGTGCAATCGACGAATAAAGTCTTTAAGGAAACCTTTGTCAAAGTCATCCAGTTCGATCCATTTGAAATGGATTGAGACGGACCCTCGAAATGTCACGTTGACCTGTCGATTGTACTCAAAAGAACTAAAATATGTACTTCACTGAGAAAGTGTAATCCCAAAAATAACATATGTTACACATTAATAGTGTGGTCATCCTAAGTACTTTCTTCATTTTTTTTAATGAAATAGGTTCATTTGATCTGTGCAATCGACGAATAATATTTAAGGACACGTTTGTCAAAGTCGTCTAGTTTGATCCATTAGAAATGGGTTGAGACGGTCCCTCGAAATGTCACGTTGACCTTTATCAGGGGAGACAATTCGAAACTTCTCCTTTAAATATTGGTTGCCGGTACGTTCTGTTAGTGTAACAATTCATTGATATCAAAGGGTTGTTTAGATTCTCGTTTGACAAAATTGTATACATTTTGGTTATGTTTCGATCCAAAAAATATTTGAAAACAAACCCACACACTCTCACATGCACTGTCTTATCAGTAATGTACGCCTGACCCAAGGAATCACACGCAGATGTAATGTCTGAAACACATTCTCAGTTGACATCTTCTGTTACCACCCGTCGTGAAAATACATGTTAACAATGAATGAAAAAAATCATTTATTTGGGATAACGCGCTCTGAATTTGATATACTAGTTAGAATAAAGAATACAAACAGCATACAGCTCCACCTACCTTTTTTATCATTATACAAACATACTTGGGCGAATTAAATCGCTAAAAACTGGGTGTCAAAGGATTACGGATTATCTACCTCGATTACATGTTTAATCATGTAGCGATAGTAGCTTACGGAAGTTCAGTCCATAGAAACCTACCTCGGTATCTGTGCAGAGACGGCTAACCAGTGACGGACTCCACCATTCACACAGGCTGGTCTGGTTCCCGGGGTATACTGCGCTGGCGCTCCACTGAGGTTAGTGGAACACACCAGCAGTAAGCGCTTCCGCAGCACACCCAGGGATCCGGTCTAACTAGCCGGTATCGGGGAAACCATGCCCTACTGAAAAGCGTAGTTTTTAAGAGATATTAATACTCGCTGGTATCAAAATAGTTCCATATGTCTATTTCCAGAGTAGATTAATGCTGACGTGCGAAATTAAGGCCTCTTTACTCCAACCTATCACCACGTGAAATGACAAAGTTCATTTCAAAATGTGATGTAAGTGTTATATAAAATGCGATATTGTTTGCAGTCTATGACTTAGCTCCTGCAAAATCATTCATTCATTTTCCTGTATGATAGTGCATAATAAGCACAGTCGTATTTTTTAAATGTGTTTCTCAAATCCAGCCTCAACCATTAACGTGGCGGTCGGGTAGCCTAGTGGTTAAAGCGTTCACTCGTCACGCCGAAGACTCGGGTTCGATTCCTCACATGGGTACAATATGTGAAGCCCATTTCTGATGTCCCCCGCCGTGATATTGCTGGAATATTGCTAACAGCGGCGTGAAACTAAATTCACTCACTCACTCAACCATTAACAGACTGTGAGAAAAAAAAAAAGAATAATGAGCGAGTTTAGTTTTACGCTGCATTCAGCAATATTCCAGCTATATCACTGCGGTCTGTCGTTTGTCAACCAAGTTAGCGATCCTGTTCACTCGATCCCGTAAATCGCCTCTTTCGACAAGCATGGGTTTCTGAAGATCAATTCTAACCCGGATCTTCACGGGTCGAACAAAAAAACAAACAAATTCTCTTTTTTTCTTTCGTTGTTTTTCCCTTTACTTATCTTTTTTAATAATGTTTTATTACCCACGTGCTACAACATCCATGTGATACAACAGCATATGATTTATACATTTCATTATTTATATTTATTCAAAGATTAGTACAGATCATCTGAGCAAAGGTTAATAGTATAAATGTTCTCAATAATCAGATTCATCAGAATGGGGGCGGTGGGGTAGCCTAGTGGTTAAAGTGTTGGCTCGTCACGCCGAAGACCCGGGTTCGAATCCCCACATGGGTACGAGTGAAGCCCATTTCTGGTGTCCCCCGCCGTGATGTTGCTGGAATATTGCTAAAAGCGGCGTAAAACCAAACTCAGTCAGTCAGTCAGTCATCAGAATGTGTGAAAGGATGACTGAAAGGCATGCAACTCTCTGCGATTATCATTTAAGAATGCATTATTGACGGCGTTGCAAATCAGGTTGTTAAAAATACTGTAAAACCATTGTCACCGTGGACGAGGCATGTGAGTCCATCTAAACCAAAGTATATAACATCAACTAAGGTTTTAATTCATAGTTAATATTTTGTTTTTCACTATTGGTTAGTGTTACATACAACCACTAGGGACCAGAGTGATGGCGTAAATCCTGCTGTGACGTCATGCAGGAAGTAAAGGCGCCGTAAGTCCCTATGATGCCCAGTAAGGAGGTCCAGCTTTGATTGCTAGTGGTCTATAGCCTAGTTTAATTTATCCTAAATCTTCTGTTGTTTAATACTGACGTGGTTTGTTTTATAATTGAACTATGACTTTTATCCTACTGTTTTATTGTTCTTTGTCAACAAACAATTACTGAATACTAACTTTTTCTCATATATGCCTGCAATATGGATGCGATGTAAAATTTTAACTCACTCACTCATTTAAGAATGCTATATTTTTTGTTTCTTCATATAATACTTGAGTTTGTCCCTTTGGATAAGTTCAAACATATTTTCTGTGCCTTTTTTTCATTATATTTTGTAATAACCAGAGACCATATACCGGTATATGGTCTCTGGTATTAACACAATCACTCTCCGGGTAGGAGAGTGATTGGCTTCATACGACCAGAGCATACTTTAATTGTTATCTTGGCTTTGATAAGCACTGGCGTGTAATCTAACCAAGCTTGTCACTCATCCGTTTAAAAAATACACGCGAACTTTCTACTTAATCAAGACAGGGCCAGTTTATTTACGTAGCGCTTCAACGGGTTGTCGACTTAGCTGTGCAAATGTAGTGGAAAAAAATATAAGTAGCTTCAACAATGTGACTATACTTACACCACTTTTTCGAGCTCATGCAAAATAATATTTTGAATTTCATGATATCCATGATACATATCCCTTGAACTCAAAGATCTGGCGATAATATACTTGAATCATATTCCGTTTCCTCTTCCACAATACAAATACATAGGATTCTTCTTTTCAGTGTAATCCAAATTTTACTACCGACCAAGAACTCTTCAAGGAGAAGATCGGAAATCGTGAGGTAAGGGTATGCGTTGGAATAGAAGCTATATTTTCTCACGTATGGTGCTCTTTCGTTAAGTAAATTTATGTAGAACAATCACATGACTCGACATACGACGTACTTAGACGTGTAATATACGTACTGTGTATTTGGTGTAAAGTCAGCGACTGAAGCTGCGCAGTACATGGCTTCGCCGGTAACTGCGTCACCTGTTTTCGTGTGATAAACGAATGTGTTTTACTATACGATCATGTTGTGTGGAATGCAAACGCAACGTAATTTAAAAGCATGTTTGAAGAATATCAATACATGTATCTGTATGTATTTGATTCGAGAACATGGAGGGGGCTGTGATTGAGACGCGTGTCATTTTCACCTGTAAGTGTAAGCCTAAGACTACGTATTATCCCGTTCTTCTGGGCCACACCCTATGGCTGCCTTGGTTTCTCCCATGTAATATTCGCTTCTATTGATAAAGTACTGGGTTTGCGTATCGATGACCTAGTAACTAGCAAAATGCTATTATTATGGAGCAGGGGTGTTTTGATACCGGTCATGCAACAGAGATAGAGCGCTCTAAAGAATTTGTCACCTTCAACATTATTTTAGATGTGACTATAATATTGATATTAATTAATCGATGTATATGTGTGTGTGTGTGGATGCATATAACCATAACAACTTCAAGCCTAAATAAGGATAATACAAAAATACCCCCAGGCACAGGCCGTAAACAGCTGATAAAAGAAACTCTGCCATCCCTTGGGTTATCCTTACATAACACAAACAGCCCATGGTAAGTCCCTGGATGCGAGAAGAAGTATCTTCAAGTTTGGGTCATTGCAATTTATTCTGTAAATCTATTTACAAAGTGTTCATAAGTTATCTCGCATGTTTTGTGTGTGTACTGGAAGTGTTCAACTGATAAAGGTCTCTCGTATAGTCTGATATTTCATCAAAATGTCAAGTTTCAGTACCGGTATACAGGTTAAGGGGGTTCGTTAGCAAGAACTGGCTTCGTGTTTGTTTTGGGTGTCATAAGGGACTTTTCCCAGGAAATTCAATTTCAAATGTCAGATCAACAGACTGAAAGTGTGTTTTTTTGACATGCTAGAATTCTAACAAAAGATAAAGAACTGCAGTTGAACTGTATTTTTGATTAGTGTATGAACAACTTGAAACAGTGACTATCATTCAACATCAAAATATGCTTGGCAAAATAAACATTCAGCGAAATTCAGGTCAACGAATGGTGATAACATGTTTTGTCAATAATATGTGAGACTTGAGATGAATTATTTTGTACACAAAAAGTGTACATTATCGTCTGATAAAGTACTGTCGGCGCTCTGGCTCTTTCACCGAAGCATCTTAGAATGTATTTTCTGTTCTGTTCGGCTTAGGCTGTCTGTAAAAGTTCTTTTCTCATGAACTAAACTGGAAATCGAAATCAGCTCTATACTCATTTCCTTTACCATGTTTACACCCATGCCGGGTTAAAATTGATCTTCACTTTTCTTCAGTAACCCATGCTTGTCGTAAGAGGCGATTATCGGGTGGTAAGAGGTGACTGGGTTGACACATGTCATCGTATCCCAATTGCATAGATCGATGTTCATGCTGTTGATCCCTGGATTGTCTGGTCCAGACTCGTTTATTTACAGACCAGGGGTGGAAATAACTTTAAAATTGCTAGTGTACTCCGGTACAGTGGCACATGTAAAATCACTTGCCCTGATAATTTTTCCACTATACTGACTGTTTTCTTGTTGATTTTTTAAAATAAACAACATAATTAACTTTGGAATCATCAACTGGACACCGGTACAGTGTGATATACAAATTTGCTTGCCCGACAGAAAAAAACACTGGTCTCGGGCGTCAGGCAATGGGTTATTTCCACCCCTGCAGACCACAGCCATATGGCTGGAATATTGCTATATGGGGTGTAAAACTAAACTCACTCACTTTACCATGCTTACAGATGATTTGGATAACGGATACCCAGTACTATGTCCATCACTTAATATTATACTAAAACATTTAATGCAATGATCAGATAATTTTTTTTCTGAAACTCTCATTGGATGGAAAATAGTATCTTCCAATATTGAGGGTAATAACCATTGGTGTTTGGAAGACCTAATTGCTATTGGTGGGTGTATTTGACATTCACAGCAAGTTGACCAGTGAGAGTTGAAGCATCTCACATATTGCTACAGCGACAGAATGATAATGACATGCAAATATGTCCATAAATATCAACAAAACAATATCTCATACAAATGAAGCCGTACAAGGAAACTTGTTTGTTGTCGTGTGTTTTTGTAACAATATAATATTCCAAAATAATGTGTGTTTTGTGATATTATATTATGTTCATCTTTTAACTGATGACATGAGATACAATGAAATACACAATGCTATTTTAGAAAGTGGTCAAATGTAACATATGTTATATTTGTGATTGCACTTTCTTAGTAGAGTACAGATTCTAGTACTTTTTTGGGTTGAGTCCCATCCGGGATTCGAATCCACACCCTCAGAGTCACACAAAGTCAGATGCCTAGACCTAGAGGTGTCTCACATACTGTAACATGGGTGTCATGATAAACTCAAATAGCACATATGACCACCATGTTTATGATGTCCACAGTTGGGTTCAATAACAATGACTAATACAGACATTATCATTTATATGTGGATGTATTCTATCTGGTTTAGGGACTGTCCATAATTTATGGCTAGGAGGGTGTTGATGATTTTAAGGGGGACGCCCATTTTGTTCTGGGGAGGGTGGGGTGGGGGTCATCAATTTTGTACAAATGTCCTGGGGAGTAATCATTGTTTTTGTACATAACATGCATTGGGGGTGGGGGGAGGTGGTGGGGGTCATTTACTTTGTACATAAAATTTTGGTGGGGTCATTCACATTGTACATGCTTCTCCAGAAAAATCATCATCCCCTAGCCATAAATTGTGAATGGTTTTCTTAGTAAACCTGACCGCCTCCGTGGTGTAGTGGTTAGAGCGTCCGCCCGGAGAGCGGAAGGTCGCGGGTTCGATCCCCGACCGCGTCATACCAAAAGACGTTAAAATATGGTACTTGTTGGTCCTTGTATAATGTGTCTGAGTGGGGTAGTCCCAATTTCAAGCCCGCACATCACCGGATCACCTTAGTAAACCTACATATATCCTATATATATGGACATACTTTTGACAGTTCCACAGTGTAAGATGGCAGTGATTCATTAATCAACATGTTCCCAGTTGTTCCTTTGATCAGTGTTTTTTGCAACTGACCATTCCTCTCTTACTGGGTTGCCATGTGCATATTACATAATATTTTGTCATGTTGATAGACCCACCACAAGAGACCTGGGTATATAACCCAATGTTATATAAATAATTACCTCAGTCTTCAGAAAAAGCTGACTGCTGTATATCAATGAGACCCTCAGAGGCAGGTGTGTTAATTTGGACAGTCTTTGTCAGGTCACCTGGGTGCTTCAACCCAGAAATAAAGTCATGAACTTGGAGTCATTAACCTATGTGTATGAAACCTTGATGACATGAAGAGAGTTTTAATTGTTTTATTATATGCAGATTGACTGAAAAGTGTTGCTTTTATTACCTGAAATTCATTACTGCAAATATGATATGTAATGTAGTGTAGTTGCTGCCCACTAGTACTAAAGTACTTATTTGTTCATATATATTTACGTCAATAGGGTTTTTAATATGTGTCACCCTAACAGTTTGCATGGGATGTGGGAATTTGACATCTGACACAGTTCGTTTCCAGAGCAAAGTCATAAACCGTGCCATATTTTTCTTGCTTCAGGAACTTGCCATCAACTGAACATGTGTCTTCAAGTGGTAACATGCCATCACCTGAAAATGTGTGTTGTTCTCATTTCTATGGGGGACAGTGGGTTCTCATATCTATGTAGCCTAGTGGGTAGAGTGGCTTTACTTCACTGCCACCCCCGGACGACCTCGTTCACCTAGGTTTGATTCTCCACATGGGCAGAATGTTTGAAGCCCATTTCTGGTTTCCCCGTCGTGATATTGCTGGAATATTGCTAAAAGTGGCGTAAAACCATACTAACCAATCTCATTTCTATGTAACAGCCTAGTACCGAACTAGTGGGTTTTAAAATAAAGGCATTGGTGTTTTTTAAATTTTGCATTAAAAAGTGATTGAGGGTGTCTTTTTTGTTGTTTAATCATGTCATAATGTCAACTGTACTATACATCTTAGGCTTTTTTTAGTATAAAAGGGTATAATGTTTTTACCCCTGTTGCTAACTATTATCATTTTTTCCTTTCGAAAAGCCCCCAAATATAAACCATGTTGAGCTGAGACAAGTATTTATTCCTTCTTGCCTTGTTAATCCTTCATGACAGTACCCATAAAGGTACAGGTTCGAATATAGATCTTCAGTAACACATGCTTGTCGTAAGAGGCGTCTAACGGGATCGGGTGGTCAGGCTCGCTGGCTTGGTTGACACATGACATCAGTTCCCAGTTGCGCAGATCGATGCTCATGCTGTTGATCATTGGATTGTCTGGTCCAGACTCAATTATTTACAGACCGCCGCCATATAGCTGGAATATTGCTGTGTGGGGTGTAAAACTAAACTCACTCACTCTTTCATGACAGCAGGTCTTTAACATATTTTGTTTGCACTGCTTTTTTCTGACAAGAATAGTGCTGATTGCGGTTAAAACTTCAACATGCTGAATTTTTCCAACACGACAACACAACACATGTGCGAACTGATACAATAAATACAATGCATGCACCAAGTTACTACAACCCTATATTAAGTAACATATGGTATTCATCAACAAAATTCATAATGTTTTGTTGATTAGTTATTGATTTCTCTTACTGCAGTTCTGATACAATCACCTTTTGTTCACAGTCACCTACATGCATCAATTCCATCTGTTCACACTGACATTTCACCTTAGTCAGTTCTATGTGTCAGTAGTTACAATGAAGCGAACATTCATTGTGATAAATTCAAATTGGTCACAGGGGAGTGGGGTAGCCTAGTGGTTAAAGCTTTCCCTCGTCATGCCAGGTTCATTTCCCCACATGGGTACAATGTGTGAAGCCCATTTCTGGTGTCCCTCGTTGTGATATTGCTGGAATATTGCTAAAAGCGGTATAAAACTAAACTCACTAACTCAAATTGGTCACTGCAACTCATTTTGGTGAAAATAATGATAGTGGAGTCAATTTCTCCTCAGTTACTTTCACTATTTCAGATATCTCTTTTTTCGATTTTCAGAGTATGTTCATTAGCCCTGTTGGAATGCACTCAGTGAATCGAACTGTATTCCCTCATGAATTCATTTCATTATTCATGGTCACTAGAAATGAATATTTGCAATTGTTTCTGATAGTGTTTACACTTGAAACGATTTTGTCTATCTAAATGAGGTACGCAACATGGAATATATCCATGCCATACATTACTACTGTAAAGGTTATTTTGAAATCAGACCCTCACCACATTATCTTTAGGCTAAATGTTCAAGATGTATTGAGGGTTTTTTTTGTTGAATATATTTAAATATTTCAACTTAAGTGATTACTTGCCATGTTTGTTCTTTAATTCCTCGATTTTAACTATAAAGTACTCACTCACTCACTCACTCAGATTGTGGTCAGCATTCACCTGCTGACAGTGGGGTAGCCTAGTGGTTGAGGCATTTACTCATAATGCTGAAGGGGCGGTGGGGTAGCCTAGTGGTTAAAGCGTTCGATCTCCCCACATGGGCACAATGTGTTAAGCCCATTTCTGGTGTCCCCCGCCGTGATATTGCTGGAATATTGCTAAAAGCTGCGTAAAACTAAACTCAGTCAGTCAGTCATAATGCTGAAGACTCGGGTTCAATTCCCAACACAAGTGAAATGTGTGAAGCCCATTTCTGGTGTCCCTCGCCATGATATTGTTGGGGTATTGTTAAAAGCAACATGAAGCCATTCTTTCTCTCTCTCTTGCTTTCTGACACTGTTTTTATGATCTGTGATAAAATGATTAGATGAAATTTGGGCTATTGTTTTAAGAATCGGGGCACAAAACTAAAGCATGTTTTCTCTGTATGAAATCTTTTTTAACAAAGTCTCTGGCAGACATACATATTTATTCAGTAATTTAGGCCCAGGATACATACATTTTGCAAAGATATATAAATATACATACTGAGTAAACTCTTGGAGAATATATAGAACAAAGAAATAATATCAAAAAGGGCAGGGTTTTTCAACACTGAAGTACCACACACTTCATTGATAAAAGCTGTAAATAATCTGTGTTTCGAAGGCTTTTGTCAGTGAGGGTTAGTAGTACAGGAACACTTTATACTCAAAAACTAGACCTGTGAAGATCCAGGTGAGAATTGTACTGCACCAACCCATTCTTGTTGTAAGAGTCGACTAACTGGATCGGGTGGTCAGGCTCACTGACTTGGTTGACACGTGTCATCGGTTCCCAATTGCGTAGATTGATGCTTATGCTGTTGGTCACTGGATTGTCTGATCCAGACTCGATTGTTTACAGAATAGTAGCTAGAATATAGCTGAGTGCAGGATTATACAACAATCCAAATCATTTATGTTAATGGAGATATTTTTTTAGGCTTTGGGCCCCTGGGGATGACATCTACGGGGGTGTTTTATTTATTTCTGTTTGCCAATGTCACAAGGGCATGGTTAAGATCCATCACTGCATGAGTCTTGTTACCTTGGATACATGTTTAAGACGCATGCATTTATTTGCATTTTTAGATACGTCGACCATGACTGGGAAAAGGATACTGATTCTGTTGTTCCTGTCATCTGTTGTGGCACTCTGCGTTGCTAGGCAACCCCATGATGCTGATATTGATGATAATGAATTTGCAGAGTTTGAAGAATTTGAAGATGAAGGTACCTTTGTATTTCAGACTCGACATCTACACCATCCTTTAAAAGTAGCAGAGGTCATTAAATCTCAATTCACATGTTGTGTTGTAAGAAACACATCCACATTTCTGTGTTGTATGTCAGATTAGATGTTTCAATACTTTGACAGCAGTTTTAATAGAGATATGTCAGATTGTGACATTTTCATGATCTCATCAACCTGTGAGAGAATTTTCTTCAATGTCATTAACAAGTTTGAGAATAACTTCATAACATTTTGGATCGCATTCAGTCATTGTGCCTGAATATTAACTTGGCCCAAACCCTGCTTTACACGCTCTTGTGTGTTGTCGTCATGGTGTGGCTAAAACGTGACCCAATGTTTAATTTAAACTCTATGTATCGTATTAAATGGTTTTCCTCTATCCCTCAACCCCTTCAGCCCCCGCCACACATACACACAAACACTCTTGTTGCATTGAGCTCTTTTTCTACCCTTTACAGAAGAAGAACCTGTGGTAGAGCAAGAGCCTATAGTGGAGAAGAAGGTTCAACAGCGAGACATCACTGGAGAAGAACCCGAAGAAGAGGAAGATGAAGTTGTTGTAGAGGTACGTGTTCGTATCAGTCAATGGTAAGGTCTTCTAGAAATATGCCACACATTAGAGGATAGTCTAGTGTAGAGCTAGACTGATGCTTTGTACATGGTCAGGGCCAGTCTTCTAGAAATATGCCACACATTAGAGGATAGTCTAGTGTAGAGCTAGACTGATGCTTTGTACATGGTCAGGGCCAGTCTTCTAGAAATATGCCACACATTAGAGGATAGTCTAGATAGTGTAGAGCTAGACTGATGTTTTGTACATGGTCAGGGCCAGTCTTATAGAGTTATGCCACACATTAGAGGATAGTCTAGTGTAGAGCTAGGCTGATGCTTTTGTACATGGTCAGGGCCAGTCTTCTAGAAATATGCCACACATTAGAGGATTGTCTAGTGTAGAGCTAGACTGATGTTTTGTACATGGTCAGGGCCAGTCTTCTAGAAATATGCCACACATTAGAGGATTGTCTAGTGTAGAGCTATAATGACGTTTTGTACATGGTCAGGGCCAGTCTTCTAGAAATATGCCACACATTAGAGGATTGTCTAGTGTAGAGCTATAATGACGTTTTGTACATGGTCAGGGCCAGTCTTCTAGAAATATGCCACACATTAGAGGATAGTCTAGTGTAGAGCTATAATGACGTTTTGTACATGGTCAGGGTCAGTCTTCTAGAAATATGCCACACATTAGAGGATAGTCTAGTGTAGAGCTAGACTGATGTTTTGTACATGGTCAGGGCCAGTCTTATAGAGATATGCCACACATTAGAGGATAGTCTAGTGTAGAGCTAGACTGATGCTTTGTACATGGTCAGGGCCAGTCTTATAGAGTTATGCCACGCATTATAGGAAAGGATAGTGTAGAGCTAGACTGATGTTTTGTACATGGTCAGGGCCAGTCTTATGGAGATATGCCATGTTTTAGAGGAAAGGATAGTGCAGTGCTAGGCTGATGATTTGTACATGGTCAGGGCCAGTCTTATGGAGATATGCAAAATACCAGAAGATGATTAAGCGTGGAGCTAGATTAATGGATTTATACATGGTAAGGGCCAACTGTGTCATGTTCACAAATTCCTTTTGCTGTTACAGACTGAAGATGATGAGTTTGAACATCTTCAGGATGAAGAAGAGTTTGAAGGTTTTGACAAGGAGAGAGGCTCCACCAAGGGAAAATCCCAGGACAAGCTTCCTGATCTGGAAATGGCCAAGGTGAGATAGTACATTCGGAAGTGATGACCTGCAGTAGATATTTGCATTGGCAGGGCCATTTGCATTGCTGATCTCGGTGAGATGGAGCCATTACAGAACTTATAGGGCCCCGTTTCACAAAGCTCTCGTAAGCCTAAGATCTTATAACTTTTCTCGTAGCAATCTGACTTACGACAGTCATAGTGCTGCGATAGCTTTGTGAAACGGGGCCTGCTTAGGAAAAGTGCTCAGTAACATAGGCTGATATTTAGAGGTGATTTAGTAGGCTCAATGGTCAGGTCTAGGAACCGTCATACAAAGCGATCTTGGCTCTAAGGATAAGCTAACCCCCATACCTTAAAATAGACTTATGAAAGTTGTAAGACAAAAGTGCTTTTGTACAACAGCACCCTGGAGACATAGTTGAGTGTCATCTAGTGTTGGGAATTGGTTCAAATCTCATAACTGATGATTGGTTCATTACTACCGATCAATCATCGAAAATAATTGGTTGCGTCATTTATGAAATTTGTTAATGCACATAAAAATACGGAAAAAAACGTAGTTCTTTGGGGTTTTTTTTGGCAAAATTTCACATCTTTAAAGCATGACTAGTATGTTGGGAACATAAATTTCTTGGAATCTTTAAAGGTCACATGCAACGTAAAACACAACTTTGCAGATTCTGATACCTTTCGGTATGGACATACCGAAACAAATCGTCAAAAATGCAAATTCAACTTATAAAGTTGAAAAATAACGCGATGAAAAAAACCGCTCGAAATCAGAGTTCAAACGTTTCACTAATTTTCCCCAGATTTTTCTGGGGAAAACGGGTTTCAACAGCTGGGCTGCGCTCATAGCACGTGTGCAAGTAAATAGGTTCGCGCAGCTTGGAAGCGGGTTGTCGGGTGAATACTCGGTGAAGGCTTTGGTGTGAGCTATTTTTCTAATGTTTTGTTGATATCTCACAGGCTGAGCTTTTATATGTTATGACAGTAAATTAACTGTTTATATAATTTCATTTGTCTATTTCACCACACGCTCTTCTTACCGAGTCACTTTCTCAGTTCGATACTTAAAAAGCAATGTCATTATTTAGCGTCGACAGAATTTCTAACTGTGATATAGATATGTCGTTGTCACAGACAAAACTCAATGTCTTGTTTTATTGACACCTGTGTGCCTGCCTGCCTGTCTGCTAATGACAATATTCAATACACAGCTGCTATCACTGACCACATGCAATTTGAACTTAACACCAATCAGGCTATACACCATAAACAAAATGCATTGATTTATGGCCCGAGTTCGGTCTCTGTCACATTATGTAATTACACAGACAGACAGGTGTGATACTTGAACACATGACATGTTATGATGTCTGTTGATTGCAAAATGTTTTACACAAAAAATGAGCATGTATTTACAAAACCTAACATCTCTATATATACACACACAATGACCCGTGACGGCATCTGCAAATGAACCAGCCGTTACACTTGAGTGCACACCCACCCGCTCTGACTGGGTTCGGTATCCCGGCTGCTTCGTTTCTTGGGAAGTAAACCCAAGTACACAATATTGCACTTTTGATTTGCGATTGTACGCTTATAATTTTGTTTATATGTTTTTTCATAACCAGCAATGTATATTATATGTCATGAATAAGTGATAATTGTGTTTTAATTATGTTTGATTTTTTGGTTGCATGTGACCTTTAAGATAAATTCAATCATGACTTGAAACGAGATTGCAGTGCTTACGAAATGTAACAGACAGAACCAACCATGTGAAAAATATTGTTAATGAAAACAAGTGTCCCAGAATTGTTTGTGTTCGATTATGAGAAATTATGATCGATTGCTTGGTCGTTTAGTAACTACGACCAATCTTCGATTATTTCAATTAATCGGACCACCGCTGGTGTCATCACAGCTTGTAATCAATCACTGGATTGTCTGGTTGAGACATGGACATATTGCTGGAACAATGTTTAGTGATGTGTACCGCCATAAGCTATACCAATCAGAGACAGTTTCTATGGGTTAAATGTAATTAGTCATAGCAGGGTCAGTTGTAAACTAGTAACTCAAGCATTACTAATGAAGGCTATTGTGGAGGTATCTGTAACGGGGTAAATGTTGCACCCTGAGCATGTTGAGAGTTTAATGAACCTGATCTATCTTGTCCAGGTTCCTCTTCATCTCCGCACCAACTGGGACAGCTTCTACCTGGAAATGCTGATGATAGCAGGCCTCGGTGTGTACTTCCTCAACTTCCTGGCAGGCAAGACCAAGAATGGAAAACTGGCTCAGTGTTGGCTGGGGTCACATCGAGAGATATTGGAGTCCAACTTTGCCATTGTTGGTTAGTTTCTTTAAACTCTGTACCTGATTACTGGGGCGACATAGATATTGTCTAACTTTGTTATAGTTGGTAAGTTGGTGTGCAAAATAGCCACTGGCCTACCAGCCTGTGGCTAGTAAAAATCCAGTCGGACCAGTTAATTTCATGAGGTCATTTTGTAAATATATCATTGACTTATGAGGTATAATACACTTTTAAATCATGCAAGATTATGGTCTGATAAAAACGTTCATCATATTAGCAGCTTAATGATGAAACGCATGTCTACATTCAAATTTCAGGCTAGTGAATTATTTTGTGGGCTGGTAACTTTCAGGCATAGCTAGCCTGACTGGCTAGCAAAATTTGGAAACTATTTGGCACATTGCCAGGAGCACCGACTGTGTTGGTCATGTGTCTGGATCTCTGTGCTCCTCTGATTCCAGGTGATGATGGCTCAGCCAAAGAAGTAACATCAGGCATCCTGATGAAGGATTCTGAGAATGTGTACGCTCTGTGGTGCAGCGGTCGCAGCTGTGTGGAGGGGATGTTGGTGGAGCTGAAGCTGCTAAAACGCCAGGACCTCATCAACTGCCTCCTGCGTCTCTTCAAGCCGGCGTCGGACCAGGTGGTAAGTCTTCGGGCACCATGTGTTATTGAGTCAAACACCATTCTGTCAAAGTTGAAGGGACTGAAAGACTAAAAAGTAAGGATCTGCAATATTATGAGTATATAGATTTCTTGAGGTTCATTGATTTCATGGTATGTGTCACAGAATTTGGTATATCTGGTGGTTTCAAATAGCTCATATACTTGCCAAACACCTTCAAAATGTTTGCGTAATTCCATAATGCAAGTCTGTGAAGGTGGTACCTTAATTCTCAGTTATCTCCCTTATGCGTTTACATTCCTAGTGGTTTACTTCCACCACAACATCAGTGTCTCCAAGATGGCAGTGTGGTCAGTCATTTCGATTACAAAGGGCAAAGCCAATGTGTGTACGCACTGCCACCTTAAACAGATGGCAGAATTGCAGTCTTGTGCAAAACCCTTGCTAAGAGGTGGACAGTTTGACAACCTATTTGCATTGACATCATCCTGCATGACTGTCAGTGTAGAAAAAAACATGATCTTCACACATGTCATGTGTATGCACCAGGAGAGCTGTCAAAGGGAGAGAACTATTTGCAGAATACCAAGAAGCTTTGCTGCAATTTCACTACAAATTCTGTATTCATGAGGGGGAGATAATCCATGTTGGATCTCAACTAAAAATGTTGTCAGAAACCTGCTTTTTATTATGATATTTTCAGGGGTGGAAATAACCCATTGCCCGCATCCGAGTCCAGTGGTCTTTTCTGTCGGGCTAGCAAATTTGTATATCACACTGTACCGGTGTCCAGTTGACTTTCCAATGTTAATTATGTTGTTTATTTAAAAAATCAACAAGAAAATCATCCGGTATAGTGGAAGAATTATCAGGGCAAGTGATTTTACATGTGCCACTGTACCAGAGTACTTTAGCAATTTTAAAGTTATTTCCACCCCTGATTTTCCTGAAAGTCTAACACTGACTTACTTTTACCACATCAGTTGTACCATACTGTCGAAGTGAGCTAGGGAATGAGATCTGAATTGTTCTTGTTGTCCTCTGATGTTAAGCGGTCCTGTGTTGCAGGTTGTCACTGTGGACATGGAGAAAGCCATCATGGACAAGTTCGTGTTCTGCATCGCGCACAAGAAGGTTGCAACCAAACTGCACAAAGATATGCAGGACTTGGTGAGTTGGTAATCTACAAATAGCATACCTATGAATATCCGGGTTAGAATTGATCTTCAGTAACCCATGCTTGTCGTAAGAGGCGACTAAAGGAATCGGGTGGTCAGGCTCGCTGACTGGGTTGATGCTTGTCATTGTATCCCTATTGCGTAGATCGATGCTCATGCTTTTGATCACTGGATTGTCTGGTCCAGACTTGCTTATTTACAGACCGCTGCCACATAGATGGAATGATGCTGAGGGCAGCGTAAAACTAAACTCACTCACACACTACAATTAGCCTAAAGCTCTCAGGGATTTATTTAATATATGAACATTATGAGTGTAAGGGATTCTTTAATTCACAAGAATTGTGGTTGACTCAGATTTATGAAATGCCCAAACTTCGTTATTTAAGGGAAGGGAGTAGGGGTTTCAGTACTTTCCCAAATATGGAAAACAGTGGTAGCACACTCTGTTTATCAAATATATGTACACATCGTGTATCAACACACAAACACAGTAGGCCACAGCGATTTATGAAACACACTTTCAATGTGGGCTCGAGGATTTGTGAAACAGAGTGGTTTTCAGGGATATATCATACACAAAATAGCTGGAGTTTATCAAATACATAACAAGGTGGATCTCAGGGAAATATCAAATACACAGACAAGATGTGTGTTTGGATTCTTTTTCTGAAGAAGTCATCCTTGGGGTACATATAAGCATTAAAATGTCCATTTTAAATCCTACGACAGTTGTAACTATATTTTTCAATAAAATATTTACAAAACAAAAACTTGTTTTGTGAGACCACCCCTACAGGGCCCCACCAGACCCCTACAGCCAAGAGCAGGTAACTCTCGCTGTCTACCTTGTACCTCACTTTTCATGCTGTCGTTCTGTTGAATAGACGTGCATGGTTTCTTATCGAGTTTGCTCTATCGATACGATGAGTGTAAAAGAGTCTCAATCTGTATGTATGGTTCCTTTCTTTACGCACAGGCGTTAGATGGACTTCATATGTTCATATTCTCATTCATCTTTTGTTGTAACTTTGCCGTTGGTTCTCTGTTTTCCAGCCTTGATGGCAGGCAAAATGGCGGACTGCGTGATCAAGGTTTCCTTGCTTCTTGGTACCTTGTAGTAGGGAGTTCATATATTATGTTTGCATATTATATGGTTCTTGGTAGCTTGTTGTAGGGAGTTCATATATTATGTTTGCATATTATATGGTAGGCTTGCCTAAATTCTCTCTCTTTTCAGCGAATTTGTGGTAAGTCGTTTTTGAGTAATTTTGATAGTGTTCGTTTCGTATCACTCCACTTTACTCACTAGTATGTACACGCAGGTGCGGCTAGCCTTTTTTCTGCTTTGCATTGTATGTTTAGTATTTAAATGGTTGTAGCTTGTAGCATTTAAATATCGCCCGTGCGTTTTATTTATTGCTATTTACTTGTGTTTATATGTTTGCTGCTTCACAGTTCTTGCTAGTAACACTGGCGCGGTTCTGTTTGTTGCAGTTTAAGCCCTGTGTGTTGTGCCATGCACACTACCGCCACAGGATGGTTGTGTTTGTTTTGGGGCTGTTGAGTGTGACGGAGCTACCGATCACCTTGACGCACCAAGGTCTACCCGTGTACACCAGGGGAACCCTGCATTGTCAGGCTACTCCCAGGTGTTTTGGGATCGGGGTTCGAACTCAAACCGCCGACCCGAGCACTTATATATATATTATATATGTATATGTATGGGTATTTATATAGCGCTATAGGCTATGTTTGACTATATGCTCAGTGCGCTTTTGGAGACAGTACTGGGGGAACCCTGATTTATCAGGCTAATCCTACGTATCTCGGGATCGGTCTAGAACCGCCGAACTTTGGCTCCGCGGATGCTCTGAACCCCGTGAGTAGCACCAAACCGGGCTTCGGCACCGGTAGGGCGCAGTTTCCCGGCGCCGGTAGTTCAGGTCTCAGTCTGATGTCTATCGACGCCTTGACCAAGAAGCTATCGAGTGTGCCGGGTGTGTCGGTCACCTCGACGCTCCGAGGTCTGTCTGAGTGCTTGGGATACCCTGATTTATCAGGCTACTGCCATGTGCCTCGGAACCGGGGTTCAGACTCGTACAGTGGACAGGTCGATTTGAGCTTCAGCTCTTTTCGCTACTTTGAACTTAACACTGAGTAGGTTCGTTCCTGAGACAAGTGCAAGATAGAATCGCGGCTGTGTTGCCTCAGGTGTTGTCTGTGTCGAATACCTGAACCGTTAGAGTTCACCTCCCGGAGGGAAGCCTGCTTCCAGCAAGGCATCCGGGACAAGGCCTCACACTCTACTGTCAGTCTGCCGTTGTTTCTCCTTAACAGCTCAACGAGCTGTATGTTCCACTCGGCGCATCTCTCAGCTCTGCTGAGGGAGCTGGTGGAAAGGGGAAAGAGTGCTGGTGATTTTTCATCGGCGACTCTGGATGGCATCTGACGGAGGTCAACTCTCATCTGGCTAGGGACTGCATTGTAGCTGTGCCAGCCAAATGATGAGTGCGACTATGGGCCTATGGCACCTGGGACTGTTTCGAGGAATACGGAAGTCTGTCGAGCTTCTTGTTAATCCCTCAGGTGCCCAGGCAGCGGCAAACATTATGTTGCCTACTGCAGGGGTTTACTGTATACTGCTACAAACCTCGGTAGAAGTGTGACACACCAGTGTCAGCTTCCCGGAAGACGGCGAAAATACTCCGTGCCGAGATCCGGTCTCTACTGGGCAAGGCAACCATCGCGGTGGTTTCCAATGGTCAGGAAAATGGAGGGTTTGACTCCATTTATTTTCTTGTTGCCATTAAGAACAGAATGTTCAGACCCATTCTCATCTGAGAACTGAACAAGTTAAAAGAGGTACTGTCCTTCAAGATGGAGACACCCCACTCAGTGATCTCATCTGTCGAGACAGAGGATTGGCGCACGTCAATCGACCTCGAGGTCGCGTACGTCCTTGTCTATTGCACCCTGATTTCAAGATTTACCTTCTGTTCTTCGACGGGACGTGCTACCAGTTTTGTGTGCTCCCCTTAGGCTACATTACGGCGCCAAGGGTGTTTACCAAATTGAGGTTTATTATTGTCACCCGTACCTAGGCAACTGGCTCATCGCGGTTTTAGAATAACAGTTGAGTCTGGGAACCTCACGATCAGTGTTGGTCACTCTTTCGAAACCGTGCCGAATTGTCAATCTCACGCAGTCAGATGGACAGCCGTCAGTGTGTTGATCGGTGGTGTGCGCTGGTGTGCAGATAGGGGGATTTCAGAATCCATATTCTGCGGATTTAGTTCGGATATTGGGAGTTACTATAACCTCGTTTGGGTTGAGAGCCTTATGACCTCCACCATTCCCAGGTACCCCATGGCTATTTCCACGTTTCACACCTCGTTCGATGGTGCTCTGCCTAGACAGCACCCTCTCGTACAACGCTACGTAGCTGGCATGAACAGAGTTTGACCGCCTCGGCGGCGACCAAGCCCACCTTGAAATTGCCAATTATTCTCAATTGTCTGTCTGGCCTTGACTTTTCAAGTACATCGTCTCTCTCACTTCACTTGTTGACATGGAAGATGGCTTTACTTGTGGTGGTGAGCTCTGGTAGAAAGGTAGGGTACATCCATGCGATACCCACTGACCCGACATTGACAGTATTTTATACTGATCATGACCATATTCGCCTACCAGATACCTACCACTTTAAGATCGATATTGCTTTCCACGTGATTGCTCATATCGAACTTCCACCCCTTACCCAGCCTTCCACACTGGGCACCGATCTTTCGATTGCTCACCCGTTGGAATGACTATAACGAATGAACGAAAGGGATCCTTACAGGTACCCATGTGTTCTGTTTAGTGGCGGGAAGACTGGAGAGTCTGCTAGCAAGCGGACTTTATCTCGTTGGCTTGTTTCCATAATTGTTCGGTTACAATGCTAAGGTTTACCTTCCCCCGAGGGGTTGAAGGCAGACTGGGTAGGGCAGATGCCACTTTGTTGACAATACACAGCGGCACTGCTCAATGAAGAGATCGGTTCTGTCGCTCTTTGGAGACGGCAGAACGCCTTCATTCGTCATTACCGACTTGACATGCATTCTGAGGATTGTGCACGGTTCGGCCTTTCGGTTCTTCCAGTGGAGAGTGTCCTGCCACCCTGACCAAGTTAGTAACTGGTCATTGGTATCGGTTCTGTGTTCAATGTCGATATGGTTCATATCACTACATCGTATAAGCCTTACCACCCTTTCGGGTTGGGTCGGGTTTGGGTGTACATACGTCCCTTACGTCCTCTTCACTTAAAGGCAAGAGAGGACGGGGCCGGTTTTGAACACTATAACCAGTCATATGCTATTGACCGTCTTGCGACGGAATTGGGTACGAACCCCACACGGGTCACTGTTTGGTATGCCTCTTTTCGAGCCGCATGTCACGTGACCAGGTTAGTTTAATAGTGAGCCAACACATGTTCGGCTTTGCTTTTCGCTATTCAGGGGATTTTTGTACGCTAACAGTTTTTTCCCTCTACCCCAGACTTCGGCATTTGGGAGTCTGTGTTAATCAGCACTTTGGGTGATGGTGGTTTACACTTGCCCTCCTCACCCCGAGAGCGTTTGGTGGGGGTGTTTTATCCTGCTTTCACTCGTACAATGCATGGCGTTTGTACTCGTTCAATTTCCTCTGTAAGTTTTTAGCAAGGCTTATAATTTCTCTGGGTTTTATCGAGGTCCCGGCAAGCCCTTTTCCAAACAGGAGGGGTGCTTTCGAGCATTAGTTTGCAGTACTTATTAGCTTGACTCCTGGGTTATTGGCTTTTAAGCGTTTTTTTACGCTTTCCCTTCCCTCTCCCTTTCCCTATACCTCTTGCCACGCTTCTCTGGTTCGGGCTACTAAGGTTTGGAGTTGTTTCGGCATGTACCCATACATTCCTTTCCATTGTAATGGTTGGGGGTGGGTTTTTATGTCATAATTGATTTGAGCCAATTGACGTATTAGCTGAGGCTCTCTATTTCCCGCCCTATCCACGCCCCCGTCCGATTGACATCAGCGGTCAGGTGGCTCGGTTAGTGTATTTTTTCTAGTACCGTATCGGTTGTAGATTTCACTCCACCACGTATTTAGTTGTTGCCAGACAGAATGCCACTCCCGCCTCAAATATCTTTGGGAGTCTGTCTTATGCTTATATGTACCCCAAGGAGGACTTCTTCTGAAAAAGAATTATACAAACCTGTAGAGGTTATGAATTCTTTGAAGAAAGTCCTCCTTGGGGTACGGCCACCCGCCTCCCCTCATTCTGTCTGATATGTTCAGCATGACAAGTGAGGTACGAGGTAGATGACGAGAGTTACATGCTCTTGGCTGTAGGGGGTCCGGTGGGGCCCTGTAGGGGTGGTCTCACAAGATAAAACGAGTTTTTTATCCCCGCGTTTTGCGGGGGGTATTAAAATGGACTCCGTCCCTGCGTGCGTCCGTGCACATTTGTCTTTTCCGGAGCAGAACTCTAAAACCGTTCACTATTTCTTCACCAAACTTGGCACATAGATAGATCTGGTGGTGTACTGGTGCCTTTTGGTAGTTTTGGAATTCTGAATAAAATGGTTTTGGCATTTCCATGGCAACAAGTTCGACTTAGACTGAAATTAGTGGTAGTGCACTTTTCCGGAGCAGAACTCTAAAACCGTTCACTATTTCTTCACCAAACTTGGCACATAGATAGATCTGGTGGTGTACTGGTGCCTTTTGGTAGTTTTGGAATTCTGAATAAAATGGTTTTGGCATTACCATGGCAACAAGTTCGACTTAGACTGAAATTAGTCGTAGTGCACTTTTCCGGAGCAGAACTCTAAAACCGTTCAATGTTTCTTCACCAAACTTGGCACATAGATAGATCTGGTGGTGTACTGGTGCCTTTTGGTAGTTTTGGAATTCTGAATAAAATATTTTTGGCATTTTCATGGCAACAAGTTTGACATTGACTGAAATTGGTGATAGTGCTCCTTTCTGGAGCAGAACTTTAAAAACCTTTCAATACTCTCCTTCCACTTTTCTATATACACACCTAAATATTTGACATAGCCATAACTCGTAGACATAATCATGAAGAGTATTTTGCCATTGCGGGGGATATTGATGACTTTGTCTTCTTTTTGTTTTGTAAATATTTTATTGAAAAATATAGTTACAACTGTCATAGGATTTAATATGGACATTTTAATGTTTATATGTACCCCAAGGAGGACTTTCTTTAAATAATTCAAAATCTCTACAGGTTTGTATAAATTTATCAAATGCACAAAAGAGGTTGGTATGAAGAATTTATGAAATACATGTGCAAGATGGGTCTTAGACATTTATCATATCCCAGAGAAAAATGCTTCATAGAAACTTTGCAAATGCACGAGAAAGGTGAATCGCTCAGTGTATTATGAGGTAATCCTTAGTCATGAAGCAAGTTTATCAGTGTGCTGCATTCATCTGTAACCATGCTGACCCGCTGTTGACAGAGTCAGTTCACTGAGAGGAAGAACGTTGACCGGTACGACCTGCCCAGCTCCTACCAAGTGCTGTCAGAAGTAGGAGAAGCCACGTCCGCCATCCTCGACAAGAAGGTAAGTAGCTGGTGGCTTCTGATGATGTTTAAAGTGAACATCAGTAATGTCTTTCTTACTCATGTATCATATGTGGAAACACAGTATTGACTTCTCTTCTCTGCATTTCTTGACACGACCAGTAAAGATCGGGTTAGAATTCATCTTCAGTAACCCATGCTTGTTGTAAGAGGCGACTAACTGGATTGGGTTGTCGGTCTTGCTGACTTGGATGACACAGTTGTATCCCAATTGCGTAAATCGATGCTCATACTGTTGATCACTGGATTGTCTACTCAACACTCGGATTATTGACAGTCTGCCACGAAATAGCTGGAATATTGCTGAGTGTGGCGTAAAGCTAAACTCACTCACTCACTCATTTCTTGACATTAATGACAATCCCATATTTGTGTGTTGGAGATGGGGAATAGATGGATGTTATAAAGTATGTTATGTGTCCAAGAAAATAATGACCAATCTGTGATACTTGCAAGAAATTAAAACAAATGGCAAATCTATGTCCGTTCACCCATCCGTGTTGCTGGTTATCGTATCGCAAGTGATGACACTTGTTACAGATACGTAATCTTACAAATTTATACAAGCCTGAGGATACTAACTTGTAACACTTGACGATCATAATTTATACAAGCCTGAGGATACTTATTTGTAACACTTGACGATCATAATTTATACAAGCCTGTGGATTCTAACTTGTAACACTTGACGATCATAATTCTGATCTGATTGTCCGTGTTTTGCAGCAGATTGGAACTGAATAAACCTGACCTGAAAAGGCATGCATCATGAACTCTTTAGTTATATAGGGCATTGGGGTTGCCTAGTGGTTAAAGCGTTTGCTCGTCACGCCGAAGACCCGGGTTCGATGCCCCACATGGGTACCATGTGTGAAGCCCATTTCTGGTGTCTCCTGCCGTCATATTGCTGGAATATTGCTAAAAGCGGCGTAAAACCATGCTCACTTACTTTAGTTGGTGTAAACTGGTACTGTGGACTTGCTGTATGTAAAATGAAATTTATGATGATGTGCAACAGCTACAGACAGGTGTATGAGCCATTTGTTCTCGTTTCAGGTGTGTCAGTGCTGACAAAGTTCGAGGGTCTTGTAGATTTCATGCATTTCTCTGACCAATACTCTGGCCCCAAAAACCAAGAGTAAGTTCAAATCATTACACTGCAGTGAACATATCAGGGGCGCATACAGCTTTTTGAGAAAGTGGGGCTGCACACTATTAAGAAAGAGGGGTGCACACGTCATTTTCACGAGAGTTATTTATTGCGATATGTGTTGGCGTATTGCAATATGTATTGCAATATTTTGTGAAAGTGAAGGAGACAAGCATTTAGCATGAGTCAGGATAAGTATAAAATATCAATTTTAGTCAGAAAATTACATTTTTATTTAAATGGTTTAAAAGTCACGCAAATGCAATTATAGGACCAATGAACATTCTCAAAACTATTAATGTATAATAATATCAACGAAATACAAATGGTACTATTCGTTTTCACTACATGACGAAAATTACCGATCGTATCGGGAGAACTGGTTCACGAAAAGTGTATCGCAATATATTGTATAGTCTGTCTCACAGTCCCTGAACCACATGAATTTCCCTACTGCCAAGCCCTCTATGCAGTGCTAAAGCCCAAATTATAAAGCAAGTCTAGGTTTCCTCAGGTTCTGAATCTCTGGTCTCCCTAGGGCTCCTTTTCAATATAAATGGGGTTGTTTGTTACTATCAAAATTATATATATTCAGAGACTAAGCCTTAGTCTATATATTGTATTGTGAAGTTCGAATTGCAATATGACGGTTAACTGGTATTATCGCCCACCCCTATATGCTAGTATACTTCATATACATGTATACTCTTTTGGCTCAAACTTAAATAAACTGAGTAGAATAACATGACCTCTGACTGGTAAACGTTGCAGTTTTTGAAATGCTATTTGAAATTGTTCAAACTGCATATATGTGGAGTGGTTTTACGTGGTCCTATGTACAATGCACAGGTCTCAAGGTACTGAGTAGTTGGATGGGAGACCTTGTTTGGCAGCTTGCATCCTGGAACTTGGGATTTGGTCCTGCCCACACTGAAACACATGTAGTACATGTGGTGTCTAGTTAAAACTACTTTGTTCGAAATTTGCCCTGTTATCCCGTCAGTTGATGGGTACCCGGTAGGGTGGGATGGTTATGAGATCCTTAATCTTTTTAGTTCTCTCAAGGGAGCTGAAAATGAAAATAAAGCTTTCCCTGAAGCATTACTTAGGGATTTGTGAATGTAGGTCTATGAGCATTCACTTGGTAAATTGAACCTCGGGCATCAGTCATATGTAGTTATTATTATTATTGTTGTTATTTGTTTGTATTTTTATTTACAGTGAGTCACAGCCTACCAAAATGCCCACAACTAAATCGGTGCTAATATTTAGTTTTAATGGTAAGTATCTGCTCAAAAGTCTCTTACACCAGGCAAAATATTCAACAAAAGATTGTCTGTTATATGTCAGCAAAAACAAATTAACTGTTAATTTAGTCACTGTTAGACAATTTCACAACTTTAAGTTAAGGCTGTAAATGATATAGATTATATATAATGATATAGGAATATCAATGAAATAAAGGGGCTTGGGTATCCTAGTGGCTAAAGCGTGCGCCCGTCATGCCGAAGACCCAGGTTCGTTTCCCCACATGGGTACAATGTGTGAAGCCCATTTTCTGGTGTCCCCTGCCGTTATATTGCTGGAATAATGCTAAAAGCGGCATTAAACTAAACTCACTCACTCACTCACTCAATGAAATAAAGAATCAGTCGACTGATTTGTTGGTTGTATAGTGCCACTGTTAGTGATATTCGGTACATAATCAAGTTTGAACCAGACAATGCTGTGATTGACATTATCAGCATCAATCTATGCAGTTGGGATGCAATGACCAAGTTACCGCTGTTGCCCCTGCTGACTATTATAGATTTGTGGGGACCTGTTTATCTAACCGAGCCCATTCTTATATTGTACTGTTGTCTCTCGTGATTTATGTTTATGGTAGCGTACTAGTTTTAAATTAGGGCAGTGGGGTAGCCTAGTGGTTAAAGCGTTGGCTCGTCACGCCGAAGACCCGGGTTCGAATCCCCACATGGGTACAATGTGTGAAGCCCATTTCTGGTGTCCCCACGCCTTGATATTGCTGGAATATAGCTAAAAGCGGCGTAAAACCAAACTCAGTCAGTCAGTCAGTCAGTTTTAAATTAAGAGCTGTGATATTCTAGTAGTTTTACTGTCCTTCGATGACAGTTTTTTACGTTATACATTTATTGATTTGAATATTGATATCAACTGTTCTGGTCACGATATAGCTGCAATATTGCCGATGTGATGTTAAATTTTAACTCACTCACTCACTATTTTTCTAACCAGAATCCCATCAGCCAATCAGAATACTTCATGTTGATTGTCTAGTTTGTTCATTTAGAATTTGAATTGTCTGTATAAACATTTTGACAAAACATTGGGAATGATGTGTCTGTTTGATCAGATATTTGTTGATCACATTATAATGTCAAGGTCAACAACAGACAATGTGTGACCTTTGTTCAGAGATGATTGTACAGCAAGAGACAAACCCGGGTTAAACAGTAGCTTTGTTTAGCACGACCATTAAAGGAAATCAATATTTATTCATTGTCAATATACCTTTCTTGAGTAGATCGATGCTCATGATGTTAATCACTGGATTACATTCAAGAAACATGAGGAAACGTCAATGTGTTAGCGTGTCAGTAAAACATTTTCAAGTTGACTGTGATTTTGACAGTTCCTGGACGAGGAAAGACGAAAACTTCTGACATGGAGGTGATCCGCCCCTTGCTGCAGCTGGTGTTCTATTGTATGGACAAGGTTGGTCGGCTGCAGCTCAGTCGGGAAGTAAGTATCTGTGTATCCTTAGTGTTATCACAAATACCCTTCATGCTGTAGTGGAGGGCGGTGGGGTAGTCTAGTGGTTAAAGCGTTGGCTCGTCACGCCGAAGACCCGGGTTCGAATTCCCACATGGGTACAAAGAGTGAAGCCCATTTCTGGTGTCCCCCGCCGTGATATTGCTGGAATATTGCTAAAATCGGTGTAAAACCAGTCAGTCATGCTGTAGTGGAAAGCCTACTGTACAGGGAGTGGAATCCAAATGTCATGTGGGAAGTGTTCAAACCTTAAAGGGGTGGTGGGGTAGCCTAATGGTTAAAGAGGCCGCTCACCACGCTTAAGACCCGAGTTCCGTTCCCCACATGGGTACAATGTGTGATGCCCATTTCTGGTTTGCTGGAATATTATAGTGGGGTTGATCCAATGATTTATCGACCTTGGACAAGTGATCTTCACCGAGGCGAAGCCGAATATCATGTCCAAGGTTGATAAGTCATTGGATCAACTGAACTGAAGTGAATAATTGTTTTATTATATGACAAAAGTACTGACACAGTCATGAATCTTCATGGTGTCGTGTCGTCTGCCATTTTGATACAGATGGGACGTAACTCTAAACCAACACAGTCACAGGGACGGAGCGATATCACTTCCTTATCTATCACTTCCTTATCTAAGTTATCTAAGTGCTTGGGTTGTTATATCAACCTCTCACAATGTGGCGAGGTTGACATCGCTTAACGTCAAAGCTGTCATGTGACCAAGTGGGCCAATCAGAAGGGTGGAAATCTACCCGTCATATAATAATGCTAAAAGTGGCATAAAAGGTCACTCATTCATTCACTCACTCACTCAAACCTTACCTATGTTATATTTGGGTTTTATATGTTAAATCACACTTTCTTAGTAAAGGACTGGGCGATGGGGCAGCCTAATGGTTAAAGCCTTGGCTCGTCACGCCGAAGACCCGGGTTCGAATCCCCACATGGGCACAATGTGTGAAGCCCATTTCTGGTGTCCACCGCCGTGATGTTGCTGGAATATTGCTAAAAGCGGCGTAAAACCAAACTCAGTCAGTCAGTAAAGTACTGATTCAGGTAGAGTGTTTGGGTTGCGTCACACACTCTCAAGCTATTTGATGCCATAGATGAGGTGCCATATTCTGAGAGTTTTTGAATCTGAACTTTACTGAGAGTTTAATCCCAAATATAGAGAGAGAATAGCTGTGTTTTGATCATCATTTGTGGCATACCTGAAGATGTATTTGCTGGTTATCTGCCTGTGCTCGTCATTAAGGAGATACAACATCTGGTCAGTCTACTGTCTTAGTGGTGGGCGAGCTGTCTAAGACGCCAGGCTAGTGATCCAGCGAGCTTGAGGTGTCGGGATCGAGCACACCTGTGGCCAGATGTAAAAATCTTGGAGTCATCTTTGTGTGCAGACTCTTTCAGTGTTGTCACAACCCCTAGTGTACAGTACACAACCCTGTGCACTTAAAAGAACCCACGAATCCGTTGGTAGATGACCAGATGATTGCCACATGAATAGGTTCAAACAACTAGTTGTGGGTACAGCAACGTGCAGTAAACGTGGACAAAGTACTGTGACTATGTGTCCCAGTCCACCCAGCTGTGCATGGGTACCTCGCAAGCATGGGAAAGCCACATTAACTCGGTGCACCTTGTATGATCAGGGAGTTGAGATTGATAATACAGTGTGCCGTTTGAGATTGACATCCAGTGATCGAGGGAAAAACAACTTGTGAAATGCCTTTGCGTGATCTAGAAATAGTCCAAATAGGGCATTATAGAAATGTGGCAAATAATAAATAATAATAAATAATTTGAGTGGGGCATGGTATCTCAGCTGGTGCTACAAAATCATCTTCAGCCAAATTTTTTACAACAAGGTAATGATCCCCACATGCATGCACATCCCAATGTAAGTCCTGCAGACTTGAATGTGTCTTTACAACACTATTTGACCGCTTCTGTGGTGTAGTTGTTAGAGCGTCTGCCTGAAGAACGGAAGGTCGCGGGTTCGATCCCCGACCGCGTCATACCAAAAGACGTTAAAACATTGTAATTGTCGGTCCCTGCCTGGCGCTCAGCATTAATGGGTACAACAAGGACTGGTCGGCTCGGAGTCAGTATAATGTGTCTGAGTGAGGTATTCATGCTTCACTGCGGCATGGTATCTCAGTGGGCTAGCACTATAAAACCAGCTTCAGTCTGGGTTAGTACAAGCAGCCGCACATACACATACACGCATGCACGTCATTATATGAGCGAAATATTCTCAAGCTAGAGGTTAAACCCAATTTCACCTCACCTTCACCTCTTCGCACACAAACATGAATCCAGATTCCACCTGATATAGTGTGTTGTTTTTGGTGCAGGCTAAGAACAAATCTGAAAAGAATCGACAGAAAGCCGAAGAAGTGTTTCTGAAGCAGGCCCACGCCCAAAGACAGGAAGCAGCTCAGGCTCGCAGAGAGGAGAAGAAACGAGCAGAGAAAGAGCGGCTTCTGTCGGAGGAAGATCCTGACAAGGCCCGCAAGCTGGAGGTGAGTAGAATAATTAGACCTGTATTCATTTCTACTTTCATCTTCAATGAATGTCTAATCAATGTGGAAGATTTGGATTATAGGTGAAGTCCAGCTATGTTTGAACTTTCAGCTCTTAGTAGAATGGCAGACTTACTAAAATTTATTTGCAATCAAGCCTAACAACTTCTCACAGAATATAAAATGTCATCCCCTGGGGATTGAAGAATGAGGCAAATTAAAGTTCTGATTTCCTCACTTGTAAATGTGTAGAGACTTGGGTGGATATTCCTTTGTTGAATGGGGGCGATGGGGAAGCTTAGTGGTTAAAGCGTTTGCTTGTCACACTGAATACCTGGTTCGATCCCCAAATGGGCACAATGTGTAAGGCTGTGATATTACTCTCTCACTCCTCTGTTGAATGTGTTCCTGTCCTTACTATGTGTTCCTGTGTTGAAGATGTGTTCCATTTTTTGAAGTTGAACATGTCTTCCTTTCCAAGAAATAAATGTTATGGTTCTAGCCACCTCTAAAGCTGTCTCAAATTCAGGTTGGGTAGTCGAGCCTTGCTTTCTTATTTGTTGGTCAGGCTTGCTGACTTTGTTGACACATGTCATCGTATCCCGATTGTGTGGATCGATGCTCATGATATTGATCATTGGATTGTGTGGTCCAGTCTCAATTGTTTAACGTTTTTACTTTTCCCACATTAGCTAACATCCCATGATATTAGTGGAACAATGCTCTAGGTGGCATTAAAACTAACTTACTCTGTTGAGATTTGGCTGCTATATATATTTTCTTTTTTTACAGGAACGTGAGAGTCGCCGTGAGATGAAGAGAAAACAGCCGAAGATGAAGATGATGAAAATGAAGGCCATGTAGATCGTATGAATCTGACTGTGTCTTTAGGCAGGTGGCCAGACTCTATATAACCCAACCAAGTGTGAATACATTATACAGGAAATGGAACACGTTCCACATTGTCATTGCATGAAAACATGACTGTGGCAACCATAATTTCACCATTTCATCTCACTTCTCTACCATGTCCTTGACAAATTACACCACCTCGGGCAGCGTATAGTTGCTGTAGGCTTTTCTCTGTCATTGACCGTCACCAGAGAAGACTTTTACTTTACTCAAGATTATTTGTTTCCTTTTCTTTGAGACCATGATTGTCACGTGAGTACATGCTGATCGGATTCAGCTGTGTGGGGTGGATTAGGTCATGATGACCTTGTTTACAGTTTAGTAAGGCCACATCTGTTACCAGCTATCTGATCCATGTCTATCATGTAATATCTTTGTCAATTTTCTAGGGCTTATACAAAGAAACAGAACTGGATATATATATTTACAAGATGCTGGAAAGAAGAGGAAAATTGAAAACAAGCTTTTAGCTTTAGTTTACATATTTTAGCCAGAGACAGACATATCTTCACATCAATGAAATTAGAAATTAATGTAACAATGTATCAATGATATATATTTGATTTTATAATTAGTGATAAGTCAATCAGTGATCTGTCCAGCTCATTGTCTTCTGTTCGAAAGCTTCTGCAGAGAGATCATTCATTGGCTGGGTTTAAATCTATCAATTACTATCAGGTTTTGTCTTCAGCTAACACAACCCCTGTTGAAAACAGCTGTCAAAGTCACAGATGGTGGGAATTGGTCACATATGAACACATATATTTCTGTGATGAGACCATGGATTTTATGAAGAATAGCCCCCAATGGTCATTGAATCATCCCTACAGTTTGAAAGTATACTTCTCTCATACATATAATATATAATTTGTGTCATGGCAATCTGATGAATGAAGGTGTTCACTGCCCATTGATTTTATCCAAGACACAAAATGGGAATGGTGACTATTAGTTTTAACATTTTGTGTTTCATTTGCATTTTCAATTCGTTTCACATAAAGTCAGGAAGTGAAAGTACAGGATGTATTTTTTGTCTTCCATTAGTTTAGTCAATTGATTACATTTTTTTGTCATTTCTTTAAACCTTTCTATGTCAATTATACAGATGTCTGATGTAACATGCAGCCATATCTGTAAACATTCTCTAATAATAACCATGGTAAAACCAGCTAATCAGGCAAGGATACATGTACAGATTTGAATGTAGTCAGACGATCAGGTATGAACAGTGTGAGTGAATCTGAGTTAAGGTAAAGATGTGTGTCCACCAGACTACATTGTTTTAACGCCAGCTATATATTGGGGGGTGATGGACATCAGCTCATTCCACAGTATGGACATCTGTGGTGGTAGCATCCCACAGCAATAGTTTCATTGTCAATTATATGTTATTAGTCTTAAGGTGGAACAATGGTACAGAGGAGTTTGATACCTATTTGGCACTAAGGGAATATGACGTCCATCGGTTCCAGTGTGGCATTACACAGGTACCTGACTTCATGCAGTTGATTTAGTAGACACTAATCAGATCAGTTGTACATCATATAACCCTGACCTTTCATCTTGTTTCACCATGTGTGTTGTCAGTCTTATGTCATCTGTTTGTGTAAAAAGTGAATTCAATAAAATATCTGTGTTTGTACCATCTGGAAAACGTTCAGTTTCATTTGAATGTTAAGATAAACAGCAAACTCAGGAGATTTCCATCTCAACATGCTGCAGTATCACCTGGAATTAGAGAGTTGCACTGCAATGGTTCAGATCAGAGGTGAACTGCCAATATCAAGAGCCCAATTTTCATGGAAAATGGTCAGAAAATCAGAAGCTGAAATTTGGAGTGAGATTCTGTGTTCCGGTTTGATTCCCCACATGTGTAGAACGTGTGAAGCCCATTTCTGGTGTCCCCCGACGTGACATTGTTGGAGTCATAAACCTAAATTCCTCACTCACATTGTTCTCCCAGACTTCCACACTGGAGTGAGTTTGATCACACTAAGTCATTGTGCCAGAAATTTCTTCTTCCTGGTTCCGCTCTACAGCTTGGATAGTTATGGGAGCAAACGTTCATGTTAACATATCAACGTTATGGTTACAAGCATGTCAACCCATGTTTTCGTCATCTCAAGATTAACTCATTTACAGACCGCCGCTATGTAAGTGGATTATTGCTGGATTGGGGCGGTGGGGTAGCCTAGTGGTTAAAGCGTTCGCTCGTCACGCCGAAGGCCCGGGTTCGATTCCCCACATGGGCACAATTTGTGAAGCCCATTTCTCGGGTTCCCCCGCCGTGATGTTGCTGGAATATTGCTAAAAGCGGAGTAAAACCAAACTCAGTCAGTCAGTCAGTCCAGGCTGGATTATTGTAATTCACTTCTGTGTGGCCAGCCTCGGAAGGATTCAGAAAAAACCCAGAGGTTTAGAGTTCAGCTACAAGAATTCTGATAACATCTAACATTTCACTCACAATACTGGCTGAAATACATTGTCTGATAATCCAAAAAATCGTGGAATTTACTCAAAGGCAAAGAAATGTATGATCGGGTAGTTTCACCAACATGGTAAACACCTGAGACATGTTCCACTTCTTGGTTGCTTCACACTCAAAGCCTTGATGTGACTAGAATTCCGTTCAAATAATAATTATATGCCAATTAGTTCTTTAAACTCTCCACGACTCTTGATCATCCTTCAGGTGGGGAAAAACTCATACCCCCTGCAAAGGGTATACCCCTCTCTAAATGAAGTTTTGACAGAATCACCTAATTATGCAAACAAATGTTCATTGGTCTCATTCAGGATATATTTTTTTAGAAGTTACTTGATTAATTTCAAATGGGCGATGAAGTGCCTGCTGTGGATGTTACTGTCGCTAAATTTCATTCAGTAAATTATAGCTACATCGCGACGGCCTGTTCATATTCCACACTGGACCAGTCACGATATGGCTGAAATATTGCTGATGTGACTTAAAATCTTAACTCACTCTATCCAGACTCGATTTTTACAGACCGCCGCCATTAAGCTGGAATATTGCTGAGTGCGGCGTAAAACTAAACTCACTCACTCTTAACTCACTCACTCACACTGGACAAGAAACCACTGATCGGTACTATGGGGAAGCATCCATGACATCCTTATGCGATGAACTGCCACCACCGAGCCATTTGGGTCTAACCAGCATTGATTGCTGAGGACTAAGTCAAACCCCGAATTTCATCGTCTTCCAACCAAACACCCTTCAAAACATGGAAACGCATAGGTGATTTTGAGAATATTGGACTCATGCAGCTGCAGCAAAAACAATACAAATATACTTATTCTTTGCAAAACGTCACCTTTAGGTGATGTAAACAGTTTCAGCCCCAAAACGCGTCAATTTTAACTTTTCCCCTTGTTTTAGAAGCTTTTGAAGAAATATTCGCCAAAGCGTCATCAAGAAAACATGTAAAGCAAAATGCATGTCGTATCGAGCAATCGTTGTGTTAAAATTTTGTCATTCGTTTTTGCCTGGAAAAGAGTGAGCGAGTTTAGTTTTACGCCGCACTCAGCAATATTCCAGCTATATGGCGGTGGTCTGTAAATAATCGATTCTGGACCAGACAATCCAGTGATCAACAGCATGAGCATCGATCTGTGCAATTGGGAACCGATGACGAGTCAACCAAGTCAGCGAGTCTGACCACACGATCCTGTTAGTCGCCTCTTACGACAAGCATAGTCGCCTTTTGTGGTAAGCATGGGTGTCTGAAGACCCCGGATCTTCACGGGTCCCTGGAAAAGAGGAAATCATCACGCCACGACTGAATGCCGCCAATCGAAACATCGTCATAGGCTGCCTGGAAGCTGGGGAGTCGCAGTCTGCAGTTGGCCGAGATGTCAACGTTCATTAGAACACCATATCTCGCCTTTGGGATCGCCTCCTGCAGACCAATTCCGCCCAAGATCGTCCGAGAAGCGGCCGCCCAAACGTTACCACCCAAACATCCGGGTTTTTCACTTGCGTCATCTTCTTGCCACAGCCGTTGATACTGCACAACGCATCCCTGGTTTGAGAAGAATTTCCGACCAAACTTTCAGGAATCGATTGCGTGACGTGGGGATTCGACCAAGAAGGCCAGTTGTCGCCCCCGGTTTGAGCGACTTCCATCGGCGCAGTCACTGGCGGTGGAGTCCGGAACTGAACTGGAGGCAGTTTCTGGTTCAGTGATGAATCACAATTTCGTCTTCACCGTCGAGAAGAAGAAATGCTGGGATTATGGACCGACTCTGAGGGGAGTTGTTCCAGCATGACAACGCTACTTCACATACAGCACGCGTAACGGTACGCTACCTTGCCAATTCTAACGTCAATGTCTTGCCATCTCCTTCCAGATCACCAGATCTAAATCCGACAGAAAGCCTATGGGATGAATTCGATCGACTTGTACCTCAACGTCAAAACACGCCCCAGACACTTCCACAACTGGCCATTGCATTGCAGGAAGAGTGGGGATGAATTCCGTAAGAGCGACTTCGTCGACTTATCCAGTCTGTGCTGAGAAGGTGCCGAGCAGTAATTGATGCCAGTGGTGGCCTTACAAATAACTGACTTATGCCGTCTTGTGGACTCAAGTGCACAGAACCACAACAATACTTATTCACCATTTTACCATCGACATTGCAGGAAACTAATGCAATAATTTCTTTTAAAAATGGCTTATGTGTTTCTTTTTTTGAAGAGTTTTGTTGCCTTGTAGAAGTATCAGTTACATTCCCGGGTCCTTACATAGCCTCCTGTTTTGTCGCAGAGACCGATAAGAGAACTACTTATAGTGTTACTGTAATGTTGCATATAAATATGATAAACGGCGTAAGGCTCATCACAACTTTCACACAATCATGTATTATGTATGGTAGGATAACCATTTCTTTGCAAATCGATACTAACGTGCAGATGTGAGTGAGTGAGTTAATATTTAACGTCACATCGGCAATATCTCAGTACGGAAGCGTAGTAGGGCCACGGTGAAAATTATTTTGGGGGTCACTGTGTTCTCCTACGTAGGACTTAGTTGCCTTGTAGGAAGTATCAGTATCTCCTACGTAGGACTTAGTATCATTCGTAGGACTTAGTATCTCCTACGTAGGACTTACTATCTCCTACGTAGGACTTACTATCTCCTACATAGGACTTAATATCTCCTACGTGGTACTTAGTATCTCCTACGTAGGACTTAATATCTCTTAATAGGGTACTTACTATCTCCTACGTAGGACTTAGCATCTCCTACGTAGGACTTAATATATCCTTTTTAAGGATGGTTATTAAGTTGAGAAATGGTTGGCTTTGCAGGACGTTAGATAGTCGAAATGTGAGTCCGTGAATATTCATGACACTAACGCAGTGTTACTGTACAGTGTTATTATGTGAGTATTACGTTAGGGTGACGTGGACCCTGTTCTAATTGCAGTTATGGAGGTTTGGGTATGGTTATGTTTAATCTATCATACATACATCTATTCACACACAAAAACACACACACACACACACACACACAGAGGTGGGTGGGATGGTTGGGGTGAGGTTGTGATATGAAACTCGAGTTATAACGACCTCCGCAAGTTGTTGCTTGTCTTTATAGGGCTAGGTTGGATCGGATGCAACGCTCGTTTGCGGTTTTATTCGTAATTGTTTACAGGTTGACTTGACTGGGGTGGACAAGTGTTGAGTGCGGCGTAAAACAATACGAAATTCAAAAAGGCAAAGAATTGTCATTATAGTTATTTGTATAAATATAAGGGGATACGTGCACATAGATTGCCACCTATAGTCTAAGACACGTCTGTACACGCAGATCATGATTCATGTGCAACGACCTCTGAAATATCCAGTGCATAATAGTAAAGTGTAACAAAGTGCAACATATAACAGTGAACTAACTGCAACGCGTAATAGTAGAGCAAACTAAACGCAAGGCAGTAAAGTATAACAGTCGGTCCAACACAGTACTAATGTGCAACAATTAGTTGAACACATGACTCTAATAGTGAAGGAAACAGTAGACTCTAATAATAAATTGAAACACATGATAGTAGACTCTAACAGTAAATGAAAGACATAACTGTAGACTCTAATAGTGAATGAAACGAATGACTGTAGACTCTTACAGTGACTGAAACAGTGAAACAGGAGATTGTGTGCGTGTCTGGGGCTTTAAGTCGACCGTTTCAGATTAATCCATATAAATGTATATCGATCATCTCCTACAGGAAATATTAAGTAGTACGTAGGAGATACTATGTCCTACGTAGGAGATACTAAGTCCCACGTAGTAGATACTAAGTATCTCAGCCATATCGTGACGAGAACAATACCTAGGATAGTAAGTACGTATTTATATCAATATAAGTAGGGAGATACTAAAGATACAATAAATTATATCAATCGTGACGAAACAATAAATTTATATCAATATAAGAAACAATAAATTCAGAAGATAAAACTACTAGAATATCACAGCTCTTAATTTAAAACTAGCACGCTATCATAAAAATATATCACTATACACAACAATACAATATAAAACTGGGCTATAGATCACCAGCAACTGAAGTCTGATCACCACACTAGGGACCATGGGGACTGACAGTACTTTAGCTACCTGCATGGACCCTAGCTGGATTTACACCATCCCTTAAGCCGCTGGCGATTGTAGGAATTTTTCTGGGTTAAAATAACAAAAATACTACGTTTAAAATGTGGTAAATTTATATATTACTTTGAAAGTTTTGGGACTTACGTACCCTCTCAGGACGACAATAATTTTACAATACTTTAAACCCCTTTGATGGTACAGCCACTAACAATCTAAGTTACTTATCTAAACTACCAATCTTTACAATATAGCTATTTACAAAACACATTAAGCAGAATTCATCAAATAAATCAATTTCTTTTTTAAAAAATTTAAAAAATGAAAATTAACATTTGTAAAAAGATCCTTCACTGTTTTCACATTTTAATATTTATCCCTTATGATGGAGAATTGAACACAGTACGTGCACATGTACTCATTTCCCTCAATTTCTACACGTAACACTTGTATCTGTAACTGTATCTTGCTCAAAGCGCACAAATATAAGGATGCTCAAAGCGCACAATCTGATTATTATTACCCCGGATAACCCATGCCGCCTGTGAGGCGCTAGAAGGTTAATAGTCACATGACTTATCCCACCGGATACCCATTTTACTGCTGGGTAAACAGAGACAATTTTGAACAAACTCACTTGCCTAGGGTGAGACCACATGTATCATGTGTGCTTTGTTGTGGGGCAGATCTGCAATCCTAGAAACTCTCAGGAGTCAAGCAAAACATGGATATTGAATGGTAATATGAGTCACCTCCTTGACTCAGTCAGTATAATGTGTCTTGTGTATCCTAACTGTTCCATGAGATCTCAGCCAGGAAGCCACATGCACTTGTACATGGCCGCACCCAGTTCTTTTAATTGACAATATGAGGTTTGATGACTATCAAATGATACACTATCAAATGGAGATTATACCAGGTGGTGCGAAATTGTGAGCGTATCCTGTTGCACTCGTCATAAACACGTGAAAGGCTTGTCAAATGTTCGCCTGATAAACTTCAGGACAAAACAGGACATCACTAATGCATCACATCAGTCACATGAAATTTCCTACACATGTCTACCATAATTTTTTTAAAGCGTTACTGAGACCTTGAATTTTGTAACCTTGATCGAACAACGTCTGATCAAGAGATGTATGAGGCCCTTGAAAGCTTGAAAAAAGACTCTGAGCCTTCTCGATTGTACCTAATATATGTGAAATGTAGATACTAAAGGCTAGAACGGTTGGAATATTGCTCGACATGAAAGAGAACCTGACTACTGGAAAGTTGAAATCATCCTTTTGTCATACAATCTTGTGGGGAGTTTTGTCAGCTTCCGTTTCATTGACGAGAAACTATTTCTTATACATCACCAACACTTTCAGAAACACTAAAGTTTTAAAGATGGTCGGGATGCGAACCTGGAACCTTTTGATTTGTCCTCCTTCAAGCTCCTGAGCTACCGAACTTGTTCCGGAGCTCCTGAACTTGTTCCTGGTCTACTGAACTTCGTCCTGGTACAGGGCATAGCGGTTCCTTCCCCCTGCTCCCCAGTATAAACTTACAATCTATCCTAGTATAAATGTACTCTGTATTCTGGTATAAATGTATCCTTTTCCTTCATCCAGGTGGCACGACTTGATCCACCTATATTTTGCTCCAAAGCTCTTTCTGATGTTAACTTTAATCACCTTAACAATCTGTTTAAAAGTGCTTTTGCCATTGCCAAACAAAAACTTCGCAAAAGTACATTTAAAAATAGAAGCAAGTTTATCATGACCTTGAATGTTCTCTTGTGACGCCATTGATATTGTCATAGAAAGGAGAAAAGAAAGAGACTCATTTTCCGTGATGCTATGTTTTAAATTTCCTAGTCAAGGATTCTACTAGTTTAATTGATTTTTAAGTTGTTAAATTTCATTTTCAATTTTCACCTAGAATTGTTTCAATGGCACTGACAAAGCTGGTACAATCACACTTAATAACACTGTCATGCTGAATTATTCAGACCGGCAACGGAACAAATGAGATACAATTTCTAATCAGTTCCCTGTAAGACCTTTAGTGTGATTTAAAGCTTCTTTAATAACGTCCTAAGCCTTTACAATGGAGAGTATATAATATGGAAGCGTATTGGGGCCACAATCTAAATGTTCTCAATCCAATCGAGCACATCCGGGATGCTCTTGATAGACATGTGCGCACTCTCAGGAACCAGCCCAGAATTTGCAGGATCTTGGTGCTGCGTTGCAGGAATAATGGCACCGACTCCTATCAGACAGTCCATGAGGAGGCGTTGCTTGGCAGTTGTGAACGCACGGGGTGGCCATACACGCTACTGAACGTTTGAAACGATTTAATTTCTTGTGACTTGACTCTTTGTTTATGCCTTTTACTGATAAATTCTGTAACCACATGGAACCGATTTTTGGCATTGTGATTATTCTCAGTTCACCCTATCGACCTTAACAAATACATAATGACCTCTATACCACATTCTTGTGTCCTTTCTTTTTTATATTATTTAATATATGATTTTGAAGTTTCTAGTTTGACTCAGTGTACTTACATCTCTGGAGAAAATACTTACATCTACGTAGAAGATACTTGAATCTATGTATAAGATACTTTCACTTACAAGAAAATACTTTCACCTGCGAGAAGATACTTTCACTAACGTAGAAGATCCTGTCACCTACGAGAAGATACTTTCACCTACAAGAGATACTTTCACCTACGAGAAGATACTTTCATCTACATTAAAGATACTCGCGTCCATGTAGAAGATACTTTCATCTATATAGATATAGCTTACATCTCTAGAGAGAATACTTTCATTCACGTAGAAGATACTTCCATCTATGAAGAGTGAGTGAGTGAGTGAGTAAAAATGTAACGTCCCCTCGGCAATATTTCAGCCATATAGTGACGAGAAATGTCGTACATAAGCAATACATTTAAGTTGCTAAATAATCAGTCATCGAAGGACTGTAAAATAACTAGAGTATCACAGATGGAGTCTAAACCTAGCATAAGCATGTAAAAGTATTTTATTTACGAAGACAATACAATATAAAAACGGGCTATAGGTCGCCAACAACTGAAGGTAGATCACCACACCAGGGACCATGGGGACTTACAGTACCTTTGCTACCTACATGGACCCTAGCTGGATTTACATCATCCCTTCAGCAGCCGGCGATTGTAGTCATAATTTAGCCATAATTAAAATCACAAACAGTCTCCGCTTCAAATTCTGGTAAGTTTGAAATTTACTTTGAGTGTTTTGGGACTTACGTACCCTCTCAGGAGGACAATACTTTTACAGTACTTTAACCCCCTTGAGGGACACCTATGAAGACGATACTGTCATCTATATAGAAGATACTTTCACCAACGTAGAAGATAGTTGCATTATATAGAAGATACTTTCACCAACGTAGAAGATAGTTGCATTATATAGAAGATACTTTCACCAACGAAGAAGATAGTTGCATTCGAGGGCTCAACACTTTAACAGTAAGTATGTGCATCTGTTTAACTAGCCAAAGACAGTGTTTAAGGATCTATGGTTGGCTGCCATGTGGCAGACAATATCAACGAACAAACCATGACCTCGTAATCAGTTCGAACACCAGTCAAAACGTTCGGCTACGTTGGAATTTTGAAATCTTGTCACGGGCGATCTGATCTGTGAAGTATTTACAGTATGTCGATGAAAGGAGCCCAGTCTTGGCCTGTTCCGTTGGCCTTGGTTAAGGTTCACCCAAACGTTTTCTGTCTGTCTGTGATGTACGGTCAACGTATGAGGAGGTTCTCTGCGCCAAAAAGCAGCCTCACGGAGAGTGAGTGAGTGAGTGAGTTAAGATTTTAAGTCACATCGGCAATATCACAGCCATATCGTGACTACAAACACGTTAAATTTTTTTACAATAAATAAAGGTAAATTATAAAAACCTGTCAGCAAAGGACAGTAAAACAAAAACACTAAAATACTTTAACTATAGAGGACGATACAATATAAAAGCAGGCTATAGATTGCCAACAACTGAAGTTAGATCACCATGCTAGGGACCATGGGGACTTACAGTACTCTTGCTCCCTGCATGGACCCAAGCTGGATTTACACCATCCCTTTAGCCGTTACCAATTTAGATAAATCTAGCCATAGATAAACATAACATATATACTACGATTAAAAATAGTAGTAGCTTTAAATTTACTGTGAATGCAATGGGACTTATGTACCCTCTCAGGAGGACCATAATTTTACAATACTTCAACCCCCCTTTGAGTGTACAGCCGCTAACAATCTAAGTTACTAATCTAAACTACCAATAATTAAAATACATCTATCTACAGAACATATTAATCAGAATTCATCAATGCCTCACTGAGATGCTGTCTTCACAGTAGTAACGTTAACGCCAGGTTATTTCTGAGCGTTGTGGCAGTATCGAAGTGATGACGTGTTGGGGACACCAGAAATAGGCCTACCGGCTCGGGTGACACTGCTACAAAGAGGCGTACATCAGACCGTATTACCCTCGAGAGAAGAATACAACTTATAATATTACACGTACAGTTCAACAGATACCGCGTTTCCATATTTATGGTGGGCTTCGATGACAGGACGAGTCATAAATACTAATATGATTGTGCATCGTTGAATAATTCATTTGAGTAAAGTGTTCCTGAAATTACAGCAGGCTCTTCTTAGTTGTTCCACAGCAACGGGTACGTGTCATGCAGATGGGGGATTGAATTAGCACCTAAGCATTTCTTGCCACCAAGTTTGAGGTAAGTGTCCATTCCCGTTTTTGTAAACTCAACACTGCCTTTTGGGAGTTTTTCATGTCGAAATCATTGGTTATCATTTCATATATCTCTATATCTATCTATTTATCTATATATATATATATGCAATCCTAGAAATATATATGCATGTTTGTGTATGTGCGTGCGTGCGTACGTATGTATATATATAGAAATTTCTGAAATAACTACGCCACACGCATCTTCTCCAACATGTTTCACTTTTATCTTCAGAGAGATGTATATATTTATATATCAAATTGTACGATTTCATTTCGACACAATCAGAGCAGTCTTTATTGTTTTGAAAATGGACCCGTTCTTAATAGATAACCGCAACCTGTACTGCCTAATGCTCTCGGGGGCTCAACACTTTAACAGTAATTATGTGCATCTGCTTAAATAGCCTAAGACAGTGTTTAAGGATCTATGGTCGGCTGCCATGTGGCAGACAATATCAACGAACAAACCATGACCAGGTAATCAATTCGAACACCAGTCAAAACGTTCGGCTACGTTGGAATTTTGAAATCTTGTCACGGGCGATCTGATCTGTGAAGTATTTACATTATGTCGATGAAAAGAGCCCAGTCTTGGTCTGTTCCGTTGACGTTGGTTAAGGTTCATCCAAACGTTTTCTGTCTGTCTGTGATGTACGGTCAACGTATGAGGAGGTTCTCTGCGCCAAAAAGCAGCCTCACTGAGAGTGAGTGAGTGAGTTAAGATTTTAAGTCACATCGGCAATATTACAGCCATATCGTGACTACAAACTCGTTATAAATTTACAATAAATAAAGGTAAATTATAAAAAACAGTCACCAAAAAGCAGTAAAACAAAAACACTAAAATACTTTAACTATAGAGGGCAATGCAATATAAAAGCAGGCTATAGATCGCCAACAACTGAAGTTAGATCACCATGCTAGGGACCGTGGGGACTTACAGTACTCTTGCTCCCTGCATGGACCCAAGTTGGATTTACACCATCCCTTCAGATGTTAGCAATTTAGATAAATCTAGCCATAGATTATAATAACATATATATATATATATATACTGAGTCAAAAAAGAAACTTCACATTCTTCTTCAGGGCACTATAAAAGAACAAAAGATGGTAAGATTGTTAAATTGTTATTATTTCATTGCTGAGATCTGTGTGATGTACTCGATACACTGACAGTGCCATTATAAGTTCCATTAGGCTACACCGCCGTTCCAAAACATGGGTATACAGAATGTCAAGTCACAAGAATAAAAATGCGAAATTTCTCAGTTCAATATCATGAAAGGCCGCTCCGCGCATTCACCACTGCCAAACATCGTCTCCTCATCGACTGCCTGATGCTTGTGAACACGTGGTTGGGGACTCTGCGCCATTGCTCTTCCAAGGCAGCGCCAAGTTCCTGCAAATTCTGAGGTTGGTTCCTGAGACCACGAATCCTTCTCCCAAGTGCATCCCAAACGTGCTCGATTGGATTAAGGTCAGGGAACCTCGATGGCCTGTCCATGACGTTGATTCCAGCGTTTTGAAGGAAATTTCGTGTCAACATCGCGGTATGCGGCCGAGCATTATCATGCTGGAACTGTAGACCTGGGCCATGAGCCGCCATGAAAGGAACGAGTTCAGGGGTGAGCACCTGGTCGCGGTAAGCAGCAGCTGTGTGGTTTCCACGGATGACCAGAAGTCGGGAACGGTTGTTCCAACAGAAAGCACCCCCACACCATGCAACTTCCGCCCCCCGAATCTGTCGACTTCCTGTACACAACATTGGGCATACCGTTCACGACGTCGTCTCGACTCTATGCCTGCCGTCAGCGAATCTGAGGGTAAACCTGGATTCATCGCTAATGACGACTCGATTCCATTCTCTCTGGGCCCACAGCAGACGGTGACGTTGATGAAATGGCGTCAATATTGGCCCACGATATAGACGTCGAAATTTGAGATTGGCAGCCCGCAAACGATTTCGAATGGTCTGTGAGGACAGTCGACCTCTAAACATCTCGGCCCTGGTTCGTGGAGCCGGCAGAAATATGTCACGTAGGTGACGTAGGACGATTTGACGGTCTTCTGCTCGTGACGTCAGACATGGACCACCGACCTTGGGCGATCAGAAGTGGTGCCAGTTTGTTATAGACGACCTCGCAAGTCATACACTGTACGACGGCTACATCCCATTGCTCTTGCGACGTCAATAACTCATCTTCCCGCTTGCAACATGCCAACGGCACGTTCACGTTCACATTTGACAATCGTGGCATTTCAAGTACCGTTAGAACTGTGATTTAAAAGTGTTTTTTCAATTCTTGAGGCCAATGCAAACACGTGCATATGAAGAAACTTCGATGCGAAGATCACGTGATCGACTGTACGTGCAAAACCTGATTTGGCACTAATGTCATTTGCAGGACGAATGGATGGGTTTGAGTGGGTTTTGCAAACGTTTTTCTAGAGTTGAAAGATAGGGATCCCATTTCGGATACATAGATGTATCATCAGAGAAAAATTATTCATTATTTTTCAAATTACATTTTGTGAAGTTTCTTTTTTGACTCAGTATATATACTACGATTAAAAATAGTAGTAGGTTTAAATTTACTGTGAATGCAATGGGACTTATGAACCCCCTCAGGAGGACAATAATTTTACAATACTTCAACCCCCTTTGAGGGTACAGCCACTAACAATCTAAATTACTAATCTAAACTACCAATAATTAAAATACATCTATCTACAGAACATAT